AACCATGCCTGGGAATCCGTCTGAATGACAAAAGTGTCTGAGCAGCTGCTAAAACGTTATTGTCATGTCAATTTTTGCATCTTGCTGATTAGTTAATGTTACGGAAGTAAACAAAGAAGTCGATTCACGGGGAAATATCCATTGGAATACAATTCAATAAAAAAAATTATTAAATTTATGAATATTTAGGCCCAGTGTCTACAAATAGGACTATATACACAGAGAGACATGCAAAACGTCAAAATTTTTGCCTAACTATGGCAATTCAGTATCATTCTGACACTCGTTTTCTGGTAATCTCGGTAAATCCTCGACCATTTCCCCAACTTTTCTGTTACATGCAAATCTGATGTAAACAGAGTTATAACAATAGGGGATAGCCCCCCTTCCCAGACCATGAAGAAATTTACTGGGTCATGTGGATACCATCCCAGAAAATATTCGTCCGAATCGGCTCACCAGTTTCCCGGAAAAGCTGGAATTCTGATCGAGCTCCAGAATGTAAATTTTTAATAACTATCACTTACGTTATACCAACCCCGTGTAACTCCCGACATTTGATCCCGATGTTGGATTCGTCGTCACGCCCGACTAGGCGCAGACAGATTATTGCTTTCAAAATCATCGTGCGTTTACTTGTGTTCTGACGGCGTTGTCTCACGACAAGATTAAGTGAGTGGCTTTATAAATATTCAAATTAGTTGTGCATCAACATTAATAAAGGTTTTTATTATAGAATGCAGATTACAAAACAAAATAGAAAAGCAATCATTTGAGAGGGAAGGCCCTAGAACCGGTCCTAGCACTTGAAAGCATGTTGACAAATGACAGTAAGATCTGGAGAATTTAAATTCACTTTAAGGCTCCAATGAGTAGATGCAGTAGGTAGAGAATCACTTTGTGCTACGATTGTTCAGCATAAAAGAGTAAGTTGTGAATGTCCTAGGTAGCCAATACAGTAATGATTTGTCAAGGAATGTAAATTTTGATAAGAGATCAAGATATTATGTAACCTAATACAGTACAACAGTAATATGTATATTTTCAGGAAAGAAAGGATCATAAAAAAGTTGCAGTGTGAAGATTCATCCTGTGTAGCAGTAAGCAAGGATATAAATTGACTAATAGGTGATGATTTATCTCAAAAATCAGAATCAACTTACACCATACAGCCATATCAATGAAAATTTTTGATTGAGGAACTAAAACTTTCTGCAAAAAAGATATGTGGTGAACGATACCACCCTGAAATTGTAAGGTCGGTATGAAAACATAAATTGAACACACATATTTTTATTTAAATAATGAGTGTTTCATGGTGGATTTTTTTCCATTCATTCTGTAATTGTATACGAAGTCACCAGCATATGACAACATAAGAGGCCTACCTTAAAAACGGAAATCTACTCCCTTTGAAACATCTGGAGATCAAAGACTGCAGTGGATCACCAAAAATTTCATAAATTATTTTACACACTGGAAGTCTACAACAGGTGATTAGCCCGATGATTTTTTAACAAAATAAATGCTATACGGCTGCATGCAACTCATTTTGTACTCATATGTTTCTGTTATAGGATAAAAAACAACATTTCATTGCTTCTCCAACGTATGAAGGGCTCCAAATATACCATATTAGACCAAACATCTGTCAGACCCCAACCCCAAAGATTTTTAGTTCAAAAAATGCATATTTTGCAGGTTGCGGGGCTGAGAACCCATCGGTGCTCCAGTTCACATAAAATAAGAAGTTGATTGAAAAGCAGCGATCACTCAAAGAAATATGTGGCAATGTGCATGTGATAGAATCTATATACATTTATACATTAATGATTAAAACGAGAATATCGGTCAGAGACCGAAGACTTATCGATCGAAAGTTAGGGGATCCCCCAAAACAGCGCTCTTACTCCATAGTGACACCTTGTGTCCCATCACTAATTAATTAATAACTCGCTAATTATACGACATAATTTGCCCAAAATCAATAGGCTTCTGGTCCGAGGTAAGATGAATGCACATTCAAAATCTGGATCAGATTCAATCCTACTTCCGTGAGATATCGCGTGCATCTAACAGACATACAGACAGACAAATACCTATCAACATACTTACCGATTAAAATCGATAAGTAATAATAATTCGTATTTCTATGGATTAGTGAGAAAAAACTTGGGTACTCCAGAAGTACGTGTACCAAAATGCGGGCTATGGAACATCGTATGTGTACCAGGTTAGGTTTAGGTCATAATTTTGGGTACGAATACTACAAAACTCGCTTGGTTAGTCCCCGAACTCACAATAGAACTTAGATAAGAAAAATTGGAATTGGCCTAACCCTGACGTGGTATACATACTACGTTCCGGTGTCCTCAATTTTTAGTACGCATACTTCAGGAGTACAGAAACTTGACTCTAATCACATGTATCTTAATTTTCGTTTTAGCTGCTGTTTTTCTTTTATTGTTTTCGTATTCCACGAATCCTATTGTCCATCTTGTTGTTATTTTTTTGGCTGCAGTACTTTGCTTATACATTTGCTTTGATTTTTTGAATACTTTTTCGAGTAGTGTTGTTACATCTTGACATTCAGTTACATTGTTTAATACATTGAGGTATTCGCTCATGAATGATTTGAAAATGTTTTTTTTCTTTATCAAGTGTCAGATGTTCAATGATGTTATGATGGAAATAAATTTCAGCTGCTTGCATGTATTGAGATAGCCATTCCAATGTTCCCCATAAGCATGTTTTGTTGTGAAATCTTTTTTTTTCTGTCGCTTTCGTAAGCGTAATTTCTTTTAACAATATGAGTTTATGACTAGCTGAAATTCTTTCACTGTGATAAATTTTTTTAATAACATATCTTGCTATGTAATCTAAAATTTTGATTAATTCGACTGTGAGATTGGTGGTTATTACGCTTTTAGATTTAGTATTATAGGCAGTGCTGCTATCGATATGAACCCCAAAATAGGAACAGGGAAACCTAGTAATAAGATAACAATTAATGAAATGTAATAAACAGAATGTATTCATGCAGTGCGACTCTTGTATAATCATTGACTCTTGATTTGATTCAATTTCTTGAGCAGAGTTCTTGTGCTTCTGCCTTCTGGGTTGCATTGTGAGCAGAAATTGCTGCTTTACCTATGAATTCCAGGTTAATGTCACATTCACGAAAGCTGCAGTGCGCAAAACACTGGCCATTCGTTTCGTTAATGTTTCTACGTTTACTCATTTTATATCTTATGAAGTCAGATCTAAACCAAATTCAAAGTTTAATTTACCGGTATATTCATTCATAATACCACATGTCAAAATGAGGACGTTTGTTAAAAATAAGGAAAAAGTATTTTCGAGGCAAAGGCCTTCAACATAAGGACAAATCTTAGAAAATAAGGACGTTATGGCAGCCCTTATTATAGGTCAAGTGGAGAAAAAAACTTTTGTAAAATGTACAATACTTGAGATATAGTGAGACCAAAACGATATGCTGCTAAGTTTTTTTTTTATATAAAGTGCAAAGTATTCATTTTCGTCAACACTTTACCTACAACTGACTGACATTCTTTGCAATGCATCGCGTTTTTGATGCGTTGTTTCTTTCGACAAGAAAGTTGTCACATTATCCTGGTAATTTGCAAGACAGACTGTGTCTTCATTTTCACAGTCAGTTGTTTATTTTTATCGAATTCTCCACGTCTTTCAGCACATATTCCGATCAGTCATCAACGAACTGGGGAGTTTGCGAGCTCTGATGCAGGAGCGTCGTCGTTAAGCACCTTGTCTGAACCTACCGACCGTGACGCCCGCCACTTGGAGGTGCAACATCGCCTTTGTTTGTTTATAGTACGACGAGCGGAGTTGGACATCTAGTAGTAGTATATATTTACGGTTATACGCAATATCGTGATACCACGTTACCTCACTATCATGTTTAAACCGCATCGCTGAGGATATAATCTTAATTTCATTGACAAACAAAACGTAACCCTGTATATAATTGTCTCATTTGTCTTGCGTGTCCCAAGCGTCCTCTTGTCCCACGTGACCCATGGGAAAAACAAATGTGTGCTGTCCCATCTCATGGACAAGCCTGCGTATACATGACAAATATAATAACGTATATTTAATACGAACATTACATAACCACACAGGTTTATAAATGCATAAAAGGGAATGGCATACTGCCCCTTGCAGTGCCGATACATGGATGCGCCAGCGAGGTGGATCTTCGTCTTGGGGCTTCTACAGTTCATCCGAATTCTGAACCTGATAACGGACAAGACAACAACGACTGGAAGGTTAGATTTAGAACAACAACTAATTCACTGGAAGAATCTTGGAGGAGGTGAAGTGGAGGCTTCGTCCGAGCGCTGAGCATCGGCGGGAGTGGAGGAAGATCCTACTTCGGTTACATATCACAACCAGATCTGCCTAGTTTCACACCGATCTATGCTTGGACATCGGACCTCGCGGCGCATCCGGCTAAGCCTCACATTGAAGGGATATAAATACTACTTCATGTAGTTTAAACTACAATTTGTAAAGACTAAGTATAGGCGGCAATACTTTGAAGGGTCTTCAAGCCCTGATCAGCCCATGTAAGACGCATTCAATGAAAAGCTTTTTTGCTTACACGTATGTTTCGTGAATTGATTTTGGGTGTGTATTATATTAAATGCACCATAGAAGCTTATGACTGATTATTTTACGGATTGCTTGTATTTTTCATCTCATCCTCAGCATAGCGAGTTCGTGCAAGTATACACGTACCATAAGTGAACGACATTGTTAGCAAGATTAGATATTTACACCAAGAAAAACGCGACCTTGGCAGTAACTTACTGTCTACAAATTTCTGGTTAACTCTGTGACGAACATGTTTAATATAATTATAAAAAGATCTGTCGATCACTATCGGTATATCGGTTAATTATTATTTTTTGTAGTTTAAGTACTTAAATATCAGCACATATTAGTCAAGTCAAGTTTATTTTTTCCATCCAGTAAAAGACAAAAATAATGCAAAAAATAAGAAAAAAATGATATTTACATTACTGGGGAAGGGAAGCCGCGGGAAATCAAAACTGGTTATCGGGTAGTGACACCCAAGTAATTTATTAGTATTATATAATATAGTATGTCGTGTCGTCGACGATGTGTATATCCAATGTCGTATTTAAGGAAAAGAATCGGGCTATTCATAACCATTCCCTTTTGGCACCGCACAAAAGGTGGCCCAATCATATGGTGGTATTATTTACATTCCAGCTGCCATCTGCCGATTACTGCTGAAATTGCTCTGCTATCCTGCTCGGTGATTTACAAAGTATCCGATTGTGTTGCAGATGATAACACGAGAAGAACCGTTCTCCTCTCCTCGCATGGAATTGGTAAACATTGGCGTCGTTTCCCGCATAAGACTCATTCAAATGGTTGTTGGGGTAATGGCGGAAATCTGATGCAAAAAGATGTAAAATCATGTTATAACTCTATGGCAGCATTTTTCAATTGCAAACGTTATTTTGCATATCGTATGAATCGTCACAGGCTTAGTAAAGGACAATGTAGTTTAATCACTAAAATATACCATCCGCATGCCTATTGCAAAGTGTCTAGTAATAAGATTGAGAAACGAGTTCAGTTTTAGCGTGACGAAGAGAAAATCCGATGAGATATCCCAATCATCCGCTGAACAATACTACAATAGCCTATGATTTAAATATGTTATTCAGAATTTAATGACAGAAGTAGCCATTCTGGTGCACGACTACGTGACCCACTCCGCGACGTGCGAAGGCACAGAGTGCTTTACATCAGTGGTTCCCAACCGCCGGTCCGCGGACCGGTGCCGGTCCGCGAAGCTTTTTTGCCGGTCCGCAAGAAATTTTGTTGTCTTGTTCTTTTTATGCCGTTTCAATCGTTTTAACGTAGACAAAGTTGCGTTGGCTCATTACGCAGTTCTCTTCTGCCGTCATATTACGACGTCTTTCGCGACATGTTGGCGCCGTATTACGCGACATCTTGGCGCCGATCACTCACACTTTTCGCTTTTCCAGCTCCGATTCATCGCGAATGCGCTCCATTAAATCTTGCAAAATTAAGAAGCCTAAAAATCGGCACGCGTGCCTTTTCTGTTCTGCGTGCTTTTCCTGATTAATATGACCATTCATATGAAACGTAATGGATATCTCCTTGTTTAAACTAGAAAACAGTCAAGAACAGTATAATAATCCAGTAAGATATGAACTTGTTGCGACCCCACAGGTGGTCACGCGATACACGCAAAAAAAAGCATGAGCCGCAGAGATCTTTTCCAGACGCAGTAGAATTTTGAGCTTGTCGCCAAGTTATCGACGACTTTGTCATTGTAATGCAAATTCATTCCGTTTGAGGCGTCGATTAACTGCAGAGGAATTAATATTATGAACCCAATGAAAAAGAAAAGGCTTGATTAAAATTGTGATTCTTCTTTACAGTCCAGATTGAAAAAGAATTACTTATCACAATTTTAGATATCTCTTGATAGCGAATACCCATCGCCAAGTAATCGAGCAATCAAACTGTGGTCCGTCTTTTCAGCCAGTTACTGCGTTATGCGAAAAAACATTCTCATCACTCGATTCAATTAAAACCTCACTTTGATTAAAACGAGGCAAGGAAATCGGCTGCACGCGGCTGCAGAGCTACGTGTTGCAAAAACTTCTTTGCCTCGTTCGCAATCTTGTATTGGAAACGAAACAGCAGCAAAATTCTCACAGAAGTTAATTGTGCATTATTTTAATGTGATAATTTAATGCGTGCCTTTCTCACGCATAATGGGTGCCCAGCACTGCATTTCATTACGCAAATATATGGTATTATTTTATGTTTCACTCATTTGTAATTTTTGGTCGGCACATTATTTGATAGTTATTCTTCGTGTGAAATGTTTTAAAGTGTGCTTTTTTGTCTAGAAGCATATTGAGTGCCCGACATTGCATTATAAGACGCAAATATATGTTATTCTTTTCTGTTACGGCCATTTCAATTTTTGCCGGTCCGCGAGTACATTTAATCTAATTTTACCGGTCCGCCAGGGTAGAAAGGTTGGGAACCGCTGCTTTACATATCAGGAAAGTCAATATATTACTTGTATTGAGAACGCGATATGCGATATGGCCTTGTTTGAAAATATCCAGTAAAATCATTAGAACGCGATTCAGATTTAAGATCCATCAATGTTGTTATGGATCAACATAAAACAGTTCGCCCACTTGAGAAATATAAAACATTCAGCTTACCGGTATAATTTTCTTCTTGAATTGCTCATTTTTTTGTTTTTCCATTTACCGTGGACATCTTCAATCATATGTGACGATAAAAATTTGTCAAGTAGAAGTTTTGCCTGCAAATAAACTTATGTTAACAGACTGTTGCCAAATCTGATGACAAATCATTGACGATTGCCTAGCCCTAGTTCACAATCAAATAGACAAGAGAGCTACACACAAATATATGGACACATTAGACCAGAGCGAATCAGTCTTTACCGGTACCTTTGACGCTACCGGTACCCTCAAAAAAGTTCTGAATTTCCAGTAGCAAAAATTTTGCAGAATCAAAACGTACAGCCAGTCATGACACTGACTAAAATCCGTGTTCCCATGGATAAAAAATAATACAGCAAAATTTTAGACGAAATATCAAATTTCATAGAATTCACGCAAAATTTTGAAATAAATAAATGTAATAGCCTTCTAGCGAAAAAATTAATCTTTAACCACTGAAAATTTCAAAGCAATTGGTCCAGTATTCGAAGAGAAAAGCGATTTTTTAAAAACGTGTCAAAGAACAAGAACAACACAACAACAACATAATATTGAAACGATCGTTATGGCCACTAAACGTGTCCAAAAATCTAGCTAGTATTACCTGATGAGAAGTGGGCGAACCAAACCAGCCGAGCGAAGATAGAATAGTTTGCATTTCAGAAACAGCCTTTGCCCCAGTAAACGAGTTGTTGTATATCTTGAACATTTTGATGTTCGTTTTTGGCGATATGGAGAAATGAAACGTTGCAAAAATCATATCCCAAAGCTTGGTGGCTGAAAACGGCCCAGTTGGCCTCGAAGTCATAATTTTTACGTGTAATGCGAGAAAAATGACAACTGAAATAAAATGAGTATCATATATAGTTTCAAACCAATCAATATTATCATTTTCCTTTCGTGCAGAATAATAAATTAATTATCTGGAGCTTATGCACTCCATCTACTGTACGAGAGGCATGCATTGACTATAGTTACTGTAATTACATTACATTTGGAATATTATTAACATCTTTTATACTAATGTGGAGATTATACTACATCATTCTACGATACGGCAGAATACTACAGTAAAGCTATTACGAGAGGCGAAATACAACTCATTTTTATTGTGTTTGGCCTGCAGTCTTATTTCACGGAACCACCGGATTTTTCCCAGAAAATTCTGGTCCGGATGACCGTACATGTGACCGGAAAGATGTTGGACATGTTTGTCTAGTATATCTTAGTTATTCTAAACCCACCGCGCGTAAAAAAAGTGAAATACACAAACAATAAGGACTCATTTTTTGTGTTTTCGGTCCAGATATGTTTTTTTTACAGTTTAGAAAAGTCCATGTTGTTTTGCTATTTTTTCCTACTCTCGATAATACATAAATAGGCGTTAATAGTCCGTGAAACCATTTTTCAAGACTGGAGAGATCGTTATTTTCGTGTGGAAAGTTTAAGTGAAAATCTGGAATTCTGCCCATATCCAGAGAGTATTCATATATCAGGATTTCCGTAACTATAGTGGCTTTTTCGGTATGTGCTAGATTGAATATCGCGACAACTCGGGCTATCAGTGCTAGGTTTTTTGGACGTGAACTGAATAAACGGAACTAGTCGAGCAGTGATAGAATTTAACTGCAACTGCATCACGTTGCGAACAAAAGTTGAATGCAAAGTTTATTTGGAAAGCTAGTGCCATACCCAGCCCAGTCTGTTTCGGACATGGAACTCGACACATAATCGAGCCACTCCATCGATATTCCCATTTTCAAGTTGAACGTCTGCATTCGAAAACCAACTGTAAATTCCTCAAACATGAGTGGTTTTTTCCTAATTCCTTGTAATTTCCCAAACATCAGTATGTGCCGGTATCCCATCGCGGCCACAGCCACGACCGACATATAATTCAAAGGACTATATTTTCCATTAAGTATTGGCCGAATTTTTTGAAAAATTCTGGTAATTTTATGATGTAATCTGACCAAAACTACAAATTATGAGATTTTACCTTTCAAATTTTTTTTTGTTCATGCTACTTTTGTTTTCCTCTTGGGATGTGATAAAAAACATTCAAAATATTTATGTGTCATGAACTACCATTTGCTTCTAGCTAAGCTGGAATGTGAATGCACTCTCGCAATCTTGTAAGTTGTCCCTGATTGTAAATGACAAAATATACAGCTATGCACAAAATATACAGCTAATACGTTCGGTATACAAAACCAGTCGACCGACCTTTTTCACAAACTTGACAATATTCGAATCACAAAAAATATCGCAAGATATCACCAATTTGCAATTGTGATAATTTATATTAATCCCTTATTTATGGGGAAATTGCATGATGTCACCACTCTTCTTTAAATTGCAATGAGTTTACATATCAGTTTTTATTTGAAAAGTCTTTGCCTTGGGACCGGAAAAGTTGTAAATAATTCGGTTATCAAATGTCCACATGATTGAGAATATCGAACCTGGAAGAGTCACCATAGCTTTTTGTTGCTATATGGTATGGCGTTTTCACCGATTAGCAACTCAATACGAGTCTCTGGAAGCGGGAATGTTTGAACGTATTTGTATATGGCCATGGATACTTCATATTCCGTATGTAAAAAGATTTCTAAATGTTAATAAGATAAGCTGGCACATCGACAATAATTATGTGGGAAATGCTTCGGGGATATGATTTATCTAATTAGTTGTTGATAATTTCATCACAGGCCAGAATTAATGCTTGCATTTTGTGTATATGTAATAACAACGTATACTTGCGATTAGTGAGCTATGAATAAAGCAGGTAAGCAGGTGAGATATCCTATGTTGTCAAGCTCATAACTAAGAACGTTTGTTGACGAATTCGTGAATTTTTCAATTCAGATTATCAATACCATGTTTCTCGCCAGTCTGTTAAATTTTTAAAGGTATACTTAAGCAATTACTAAGAAATAAAGAGTGACCTGATCTGACCCATGACGATGTAATGAAGTGATTTTTGACAATGATGTGATGTGTTATGCAATTGCATTCATTATTGGATAGGTATAATTTCCGATTAAGAAGCCTGAATTTTTATCACCAACCCGGTATAATCAAAGGAAATTTAAATATAATATATTAGCTGAAAGGATTATCATAAATTAACAAATTCAGAAAATGCGAAAGAGACAACTCAATATTCAACAAAAATTGAATTTAACAAAAGATACCTCAAGAAAACAAAGAATAACTACAGGCTGGTATGTTGGTCATCCCATCTAGATCGACTATTTAAAGTTGTCATATATTTTCAATTTTTGGCACGAATTCTAAAAAACAATTACTGAAATAAGGCTGTGTAAATCAATAATAAATTGTTAGTTAAACCTACAATATCTCATTTTCAACTTACAGGAAAAAAATTATAGCAACATCTTTATACTAGGTCAAAATAGCTTGATATACAACACTCGCACAATTATGAACTAGGGAAGGTGCGACAGAAACTGACAAGATTCGTAAACGGTCAGCATGTCGCCGACCTGTGGGAAATCAATGAGTTCGTTCGTGCAATTACTCCATTGAACCCATGAGGTGCCAGTGCTGAAACTTACTTCCCAAAGCCACGGAGCAGTGGTCAATGTTCCAACAAGCCCCCCACTGGATAGCGTAGAATACAACAAAATACAAACCAATTATATGTTAGTAATTATGCTCATAGTAAAATGAATGTCATTGCATTTTTAACTATATAGCCATTAACAATTTGTTCGAGATTATCTTGTGATGTATCACTCAGAACATGTGATAATACAAGCAATTTTTTGAAAGCATGACGTGCTCACGAATGAACAACTATTTGGACAAATAAATATTTCACTGTGAAACATTTGGACAATAAATGACGAGGTACAGTTTAAAATAGTTAATTCCATTCAAAGTTCTGGCGGTGCAATCATTTTACCTACCGGTACATTCTCCACTAAAATGTGGCGTATTATACTCACTTAAATATTTACTACAGCAAACAAAATACGTACCAAGGAAAATCTCCCACTAAAACAAGTGCCTCATTGAGGAAATTTTGGCACGGCATGGACAAAAAATGGTAGAGACGTAGTGGTTTGATCTCCGTATCCATAAATTTCAGTCTTACTCGCTTGTTTCACAATTTACAATATTTAGCTGAACAAAATGGCTTGATGGCTTGATATCTTCGAATTCTATTTTTTTTTTGTAGTGATATAAAAAAGCATTGCCTGACGGATCGTGTCATATATATTTTCCGACTTTCCGGACTAATATAAACGAACATTCTCTTAGCTTGACGCTCGGAAATAGTATAAGTATAAGAATATTTTGATTCCAAAATCAGCATAAAGACGATAAAATAACTGATGAACACAAAATACATCTTCGTCTTGGGGCTTCTACACTTCATCCGAATACTAAACCTGATAAAAGACAAGACAACTACGGCTGAAAGGTTAGATTTAGGAAAACAACTAACTTCACTGGAAGAATCATGGAGGAGAAGAAGTGGAGGCTTCGTCGGAGCGCTGAAGGAGGGAGATCCTACTCCGTCTGCATATCACAACCAGATCTGTCTAGTTTCACAGCGATCTATGCTTAGACATCGGACCTCGCGGCGCATCCGATCGGCCCACACATCAGAATGATATAAAAACTATTGCATGTAGTTTAAACTACCATTTGTGAAAACTAAGTGTAGGCGGCAATACTTTAAAGGGTTTTCAAGCCCTGATCACTATCGGTATGTCGGGTCATTCTTATTTGTTGGTAGTTTAGCAACTACTTAAGCAACCACCTAAATATTAGTCACAACATGACCAAGTAAACTAAATATAACAACAATGACGTGCGATTCCCTCAATATATTTTACCCTCGAAATTTTATATATATACATATACATAAAAAGGAATGGCATACTGCCCCTTGCAGTGCCGATACATGGATGCGCCAGCGAGGTGGATCTTCGTCTTGGGGCTTCTACACTTCATCCGAAATCTGAACCTGATAACGGACAAGACAACAACGACTGGAAGGTTAGATTTAGAACAACAACTAACTTCACTGGAAGAATCTTGGAGGAAGTGAATTGGAGGCTTCGTCCGAGCGCTGAGCATCGGCGGGAGTGGAGAAAGATCCTACTTCGTCTACATATCACAACCAGATCCGCCTAGTTTCACAGCGATCTGTGCTTGGACATCGGTTCTCGCGGCGCATCCGGTGGATACGGGTATAGAAACGATATAAATACTAAATCGTGTCGTTTAAACTACCATTTGTGGAGACTTATTATGGACGTGATTCTCGAGAAAAATCGATTCAAATCTTCGAATCTATAAATATTTTTTTTGTGATTCCATAACCTTTTTTTTATCAAATTAAATGGTGACGTGAAATGGTGATCAAATATATGTCCGGGTATTCCATGGGGTGGGAATTCAGTCTATAACACAATCATGTAAACTCAAGTTTTAGACGACTAACTAGGATTACCCAGTTGCGTTGAGAGTAGCAACTGTAGACATCAACCGATGTTATGATCCCGTAGTGGTCGTGTCGCAGCCTATTTTAGCGCCTAAACCTAACCCTGTTATTTCTGCGACATATATGACGTGAAATTTATCTGCTCGCCATGAGTATGAAATGAAGACAAAATGTTGATTGTTAATTCATTCAGCACATATTAGTCAAATCAAGTTTATTTTCTCCAACCAGTAAAAGACAAAAATAATGCAAAAAATAAGAAAAAAATGATATTTACATTACTGGGGAAGGGAAGCCGCGGGAAACCAAAACTGG